GAAGATGAAGCCGGCATATGAGGTCTAGCTTCTTCTTTGGAAGCCCCGTTTGATGTGGATCGAAGCACCTTGCCACGGGAGCGACCAACTCTTTGGTCTGTCAGAGGAGTCTGCAGCCGACCCCTGGATTGCAGCCCCAAAACAAACAAGACTTACTATCATGTTGTGAAGATGCTCACCACATCCCATGATTTTCGTCACCACACCTTGCGCCCGTTCAAAGAGGGAGGCTTTCGTCGAAGGGAGGCGGTTGAGGCGGGCAACGCCCGGTCGCACCAGTTCTGGAATCCTCAGTTCGCACGCAGTTCCGGAGCGATCGGAGCTCTGGGAGGGGAAAGCTTGGTCACCATGATGACAAGTGATGTGGGGCATGTTGTGCGCATGGCGAAAAAGATTGATCCGCTTGTTTTCGTTGCATGAAATCATATAATATATGTTATATATAATCAGTATAATCAGTATAGTATATACATCATTCAAAACTGACCCTTTTTTGATGGTTTCTCCACGTTCTTCGCTTTGCGCACCTAAGGCCTGTCTATGTCCACATCAGGCCACGGTCTGTGACAACTCCCGGGTTTGTCAATGGCGATCTCTCAGAAATCGGGCCAGCAAGAATTCCTGAAAATCTATGGTCGTGTGTCGCACCACAAAACCGTTTAAAGGCCTTACTTGAGCCACACAATCAGGACTTTTTTGTTATCAGCAAATCCCTGGGAGCGAGTAGTTTGATCCAGTTTGTTTGCCCTGGAGCTTGGTCGTTCCAGGTGTTCGTAGCGCCTTGCACCTTGTTCTTGATGCTGCTTTTGGGCTGAGACCATGCTTTCTTGCATTTGCCATGCTCAATTGCAATGAAGGTGCTTCACGCGTCTTGTAGCTGGCCTTTTTGAGTGCAATGTGCTTTACCAATGCCGGAGCTGGCGATTTACATCTTTGTTGGTGGGCCGGCAGTGGTTGGACTGACTACCTCAAGACAGCACAATGGCGGCGCAACCCCGAGAGCTGGCGATTCACATGCTTGGTGCTGAGCAATGCAACTGTTGGACCCTTAGCGTGATCAGCTCTGCTCACAAGCTATCACACTCCGGGACACGTGAATCTTTCGCGATAAAGGTCTCACCTGCCTGAGTCGCAAAAAAAAGGACGTTTCGCATGGGGTGTCTGTGGCTCAAGCCGTTTTAGCTTCGTGCACACCTTGTCGTTTTAGCTTCGTGCTTGCTTCTCCCATTGGACCGACCTGATCCGACCTGACCATTAAAAAGCTTAAAAATGTGCACGGCACAATGCGCGAATCAACTAGTCAAGTCATGCTCTGAGTCTGTGTGTACTTTCTTTCAGTTGTGGCGTCTATTGCGATCATGTACACCACTGGCATCTGGCACAAACCAGGCGGTCAGCTGAGGACCGCTCTTGCTTCATCAGCCAGAACAGCACGAAGCTCCTCTGAATCTGCTTCCTCCACAAGCTGGTCAACATCCTTCCACATGATCCCTTTGGGCAAGTGCTTCTCCAGTCTGTTTCGAGCGAGTGCCACTTGCCATTTCTTCTGGACACGTGGATCTTTCTCAAGCAGCTGCAAAGAAAACTCAGGACCCTTCATGCATTGGAAAGCTGCATCATCGGAGCAATACTCGATGAGCACCTCCTTGACATCAAACCACCTGACTTCTGGCAACTCCTCAAATAGAGGTCTCAACTGTTCAATGGCCAAGCTTGCTGCAAAGGCACCACCTTTCTCTTCCATCTGCTTCAAAAAAGTGTGGGGGTCCTCGATGCCCTCCTTCAATTGGTCCAAATCCAACTGCAAAAGCAACTGCTCTAAGGTCTCCATGTCCTGGAAGCCGTGCCTCGGTCAAAAGAACCAAGAGAGCCTTTCTTGTACAGGAAGAACATGGAAAAACAACCTGAAAACAAGCAATAGGAGGGTGTCGGACCAAGCAGCTGTCGCAAGGATTGCTTCAGTTGCAGAACAGCCCAATGCATGCCTGCGATCCCCTGGTACTCCAAGGTGGACTCCACAAATCCTGGAATACGGAGGATCACTGGGCGGCCGGAAACACGGTCAGCAGACGGACGAAAGAAGCGAGCCTTCGGGGGCACTGAGCTCAAGCAATGTGTCAGCAGCTCAGCCCACGACTGTCAGCGCAAAGTTGCGTCCATCATATGCGGAACTAGGAAAGGGTCAGCCAGCAAAACACGAGTAAAGCAGGATGAAACATGCAAATCCTGATAGTCGACATGCCTCCTCACATGTGACACAAAGGTGCAACTAAAACGTTTGCGTGGACATTGTCGCGCAACTCAAAAAGACACCGTCTGTCTTCGCATTGCTGTTGTCTAGCTATCATCTTAACTGCAGGGGTGGGGTAGCCCCACCTCCGGGATTGAACCCAAGTCCGACGCATGAGGGATGCCACGGTCCGACCGGCCCTCCAATCTGTCTTCGCCCGAAGAAAAACATCGCACGGAGGGAGGTGCCTTCGTTTGGGGCCCAGGGTCCTGTTGGGTCAGCGAAAGCAGCGCGCAGTTCCGGCGAATCCATTTGTTGCACCAGTCGTTCCATGTCTTTCCACTCGATGTCTGGCATCTTGTCCTCGATCATAGGTCTCAGGAGCTCGAGGGCCAAGCTTCCTGCGACTTTGTTGTCTTCCTCCCACAAAGACTCAAAGAAGCTGGCGGGATCGTTCATCATTGCTTTGATCTGCAGCACATCCAACAGCTGGATCACGCGCTCCATTTCAGTAGCCGATAGTTGAATTCTGGACATCTTTGCTGTCTGATTTACAGCCAGCACAACGATCCTGGCCAAGCAAAAGCGTTCAAGCTCTTCAGGGCTGTTCACTTTGCTGGTAAAGTCTATCAAAGACTCAACCTGGCCAAGTTCTGTTTCGAGCACCGCCTCAATCTGCTTCCAGCTCATACCCTGAGGCAAAAGCGGCTCAAACTCAGGGTGGACT